TTTCAGTCGAGATTGAAACGGTCGATGGAGGTTATATGCGAACGGCGACAATTGGAACATGGCGAACGGGGTATAAGGCTCTAGTTTAGTAGTGTTACAGAGTAGAATACGTATATTTTAATATATTTAAAAAAAAAAAAAAAAACAAAACCGCTGAGAAATGTTACGTGTGTTTAACAACGGGTTCGGAAAACTTTGAAAATGTTAACAACAGGTTCGGCCGAACCTGTGCGAACCCGCTGAATATCACCACTGGTTATAGCTAATCCCTTACGAGAGTTTGAAGATATTTATTTAAGATGACTCCGTGTAACTGTAGATGAATAATATTAACCTCATACTGTCTTTTAAATGTAATAGGTTATAAGATTTTGGAAAGAATTGGATTGGACCGATGTAACTGCCATCGAAATAATGATTAATGTAAGAAAATTAAGCTTTTTATTTTAAATGGAAACCGCATATAATTAATTCTAAAAGTAATTTTTTAATATCATGTTAGTGTTTAAATGACTGCATTCTTGAGTACTATGATGGAATGTTGAGAAAGATCAAGAAAGAACACATACCTCTTTATAAATGCAATCTTAATGTATCCAACGAGGTAATAAAGTTAGTTAATTCAAAAACTAAAAGAAAATATTCAATTTTATAATAATAATAACGTCAAGAACATCGCTGTTTAGAACATTAAACAATTTATCTGTACTCCAAAAAAAAAAAAAAAAAGCCTTATTTTAAAATAAATTTAAACTACTTTAAAATTTCTGCGGATTTTTAGGATACACGCCCTTATATTTGAACTATATTTTTTTCAGATGCGCTTAATAATCAATAATATGACAGAAATAACGAAATGTATTGAAAATGTCATTGAAGTCATTGAAAAGGATCTAACAAATAAATTAACTACAGAATCTAGAAAATATTTAACGGGTCCATTAAGAAACATAATAGCAAAGGCAAAATCTGAAATGTTATCCTGCAGCAAATACGCGATTCAATCGGTAATACCGATTTTTAGTTGAAATGATCGACAAAACAGTTTTTAAAATAATGTTTATTTATTTTAGGCTAAATTGCAAGCGTGTGAAATGATACAAAACATAATTAATTCTAAACCTGGAAAAGTGAAACAGAACGTGAGTATGATTTATTTTCTAATATAATGTGGATTTGATTAGATTAACACCTAAATAGAGACCAATTTCCCATAAAAGAACTCATGGGAGGCATCTTCTCCTTGGCAGATCGCCCACGTTTTGAGTTGCCTTAAGCCAATAATCAATCATCTCTCCTTTAGTGGAGCTCAAAGATAAATTTTGATTTTGGCCTATCAAATCCTACAGCTTCCTTTGTTTACAGAATACATTGCCATTCTCTGCGATGGCCATTATATCTGGAAGCGATTTCATTTTTTGTCCACAAGTGGAATCTTAGTCTTTTTTGCTTTATTCAGGTGGTTAAGGTACTGCACCCAAAACTTCTCCCGTTTTCCTATTTTATTCGGGTTTCGTTTTCGACAAGTTTTACTGTACATTAAAGTTTTGAAATGACGATTTTTAAAATTTTCAGGCATTTTGTATATTCGAAAAATTTATAGATGATTACATTAAACTTTTAAATCATAACTTGACTAAAATGGGAGTCAAATTTGTAATTTACGAAATATGGAATGAAATTTTGAAAAATTTACTTGAAATTTTGGACGAACACGTATTTTGTTTTTATTATATAATTTCTCTCCGTTACAATTTATTATAATTTTGACTATTTTTTTTTTCTTTATAAAGAAAAGTAAAGGAGTTGCAGATGTATGCGAGATATTATCCATGATTGTAGCGAAACTAAGCGATAAAGAAGACATTTTGACTCACAATCAAATGAAAAATTTTAAATATAATGTATATAAAATTATTTTTCCTTTTGAAACAAATAATTTTTTTATAGTTTCTTAAAATTATTATTATTTTTTTTATTTTTATTTAGAGATTAAAAAGTTACTTTCTCGAATTGGATTATGCTAAAACGAATTAATTGGACCGGATAAAAGTCAAATTGGATGTGAATAAAAACACCACAAATCCGTCGTCAAATCTATAAAAATTATAATAATAATAATAATAATAATAAAGATTATTATTAAATTTATTTTATCATTTGACTTAAATTAATCAGAATTTCTACATATAAGTTATTATCATGTTTTCATACTCTATAAAGTATTTTATTAATTTAACTCATTTCATTTCATCGGTATTTTAAAAAAATTTGGTGAGATTTTGCGTAAATTTTTTCATCATGTGAAGCAATATTTGAAATTTTAAAATTCGAACTTAATAAATTTCGAATTGTAGATTAAAAAATAAATATTATATCTGCTATGGATGGAAGTCAAAATCTAATTTTAAATCTTATTCTAAATGTAGGATAAATGAGAATTAGATGATGAACACGTGTAATTATTATATAAACTAAAATGTAAGCATTACGTATTGGTATATTGTGTTGGTTGAAAGTCATGTTTGCTATGTGTACTGTTTAAACCCAATTAATGTAAAAATAAGTGAAAAAATCGAATGTTTCTGTTTCTAACTTGTAGAATGTTTTACATATGTTTATATTTAAATGTATCCTGGAAAATATTAAAGATTAGCGGATGGTTTTTGTTTCTTGTATAATATTTTAGAAGCTTTAGAATCTAACATGTAACAGAGAATCTCTGGTCATAATGATCATCTATATGCTGTTCATCAATTAACCCTCTATAGATTAGATGGTAATTTAGCAGAAAATTATATGTTTTTTCGAATCTGTTTTTGGAAAACATCATTGTTTTACTTTAATTATTTAATTTCCTTTATTTGTTAAAACAGAGAAAACGCCACTCCTGTAATATATGTGGAATTCTGTATTTGAAATCTGACAATTTAAAAACTTTAATGTAGAAATTTTAATTAACCTATATTTGGGCAGACATCAGACGAGTTTTGCTTCTTCCTTTCACAATTTTAATCTGTAAAGAGTAAAGAATTAAATTTGTAGCATCAAAATAAAGGGAGGTAAAATTTAAAAAAAAAAAAATGAATATTTTGCTCGTAAATTTTATCTGATATTATAAACAAAAATTAAAAAATTTGATACATAAATAAACAACAAATAAGTATTAATGGTATTAATATAATTTAAAATAATTATATTTAGTTGCGTTGCATATGTAAGGAAACATGATAACTCTCACCGGGAATTAGAAATGGAATATTTAAATATGTGAAGATTTTTGCTTCATGANCAATTAACCCTCTATAGATTAGATGGTAATTTAGCAGAAAATTATATGTTTTTTCGAATCTGTTTTTGGAAAACATCATTGTTTTACTTTAATTAATTATTTAATTTCCTTTATTTGTTAAAACAGAGAAAACGCCACTCCTGTAATATATGTGGAATTCTGTATTTGAAATCTGACAATTTAAAAGCTTTAACGTAGAAATTTTAATTAACCTATATTTGGGCAGACATCAGACGAGTTTTGCTTCCTCCTTCCATAATTTTAATCTGTAAAGAGTAAGGAATTAAATTTGTAGCATCAAAATAAAGTGAGGTAAAATTTTTAAAAAAATTAATATTTTGCTCGTAAATTTTATCTAATATTATAAACAAAAATTTAAAAATTTGATACATAAATAAACAACAAATAAGTATTAATGGTATTAATATAATTTAAAATAATTATATTTAGTTGCGTTGCATATGTAAGGAAACATGATAACTCTCACCGGGAATTAGAAATGGAATATTTAAATATGTGAAGATTTTTGCTTCATGACGACTTCTAACTGTTATCCAAGTGTTCGTTTACAAAAAATTTCTTAACACACTACTGCTACAGTTTTAGTCTTCGAATACAGTCGATCTCCCTAAAAGACGGTAGATACGTTCCGTTCTTTATGAATCAATTTTGTAGGAATCACAGCCAATCACAGCCTGACACGTGTAAAGTTTACGGACTATGGCTGTTTAAAAGGTTTTCTTCCATAAAACTTGTTTATGGAAGGCATCTTCTCCTTTCCACTGAGTCGAAGGCTTTCTCATAGTCAATAAAACATATGTACACTTCTTTTTGATGTTCATAGTACCTCTGTGTCAGTATTTGTAAGCAGAAAATTGCCTCTCTGGTGCCCAGCCCCCTGCAGAAGCCAAACTGTGTGTTTCCTAATGTATGTTCGCATTTACATCTTATTCTTTGCTGAATCACCTTGAGAAAGACTTTTAGCACCTGGCTCATTAAACTGATCAGCCTGAAGTCTTCGCATTTTCGGCTGGTAGCCTTTTTTGGTAGGGCCACAAAGATTAATTGGAGTCAGTTAGATGGAATAACGTTGTTGTAGATTTGATTGAACCATTTCGTAAAGTCTTAAAGGCCACTAATTATAAACATCAGATCGTCGAAACAACAATAGATTTCCCATCAAACGAAATATTTGTTTACGTTATAACCACACTACAATTTTCTTTTCACTTATTAAAAAGTTAAATAAATTAAATTTGTAAGCATTTTTTATTATTGGGCTGCAATTTGAAAAAATTGTTGACTTATAAATTTCCACTGTTGTCCATCAGACTGTCTGTCGTTCCTTAATCTTGAGAATGGTGTTAGATAAAAGTCAAGACCATATATGGAAAGATTAGAGGTACAAGGCCTCGATTAATTTCCGGTTTGGGCCAGAAGTCACGTTATATTAATTCAAAAATTTTCGGATAAATGATCCGCTTTACTTCGTTGTTAACAGGAAAAGTATAATGTACAGGGGCAAGACACTAAACTTAAGTGCATTGTGTCGATGTGACAATGAATAATTGCTCTTTTTTTAATTACTCAAATTAAATACTTGACCGCAATTTGGAGTTAATAAATTCGGAATTCAGTTTTGGTTCATCTTCAGAAAAAGGTTTGCTATTGCTAACGTAGATTAATAAGTATTAATAAGTAATGCCTATATATATATATATATATATATATAAAGTATTTTGCCTAGTAGTTATTGCCTAGAAAGCAGTTATACAACAAATAATTCTTTGTTTCGTTAGCTACATTGTAATGCGTGGTAGAACATCAAACGTGTTATAGTTCAAATTTAATTGTATTTAAAATGGATGATACTTTTTAAAACTCTGTCCGCGCGTGTGAAACAACTATATGCCTACAAAATCTATCAGTCATGAAAATAAGTCTCCTAAAGAAATTTATGAAAGATTAGTGACAGTTTACGGTGCTGGAAGTGCGAAAAAAACCAATGATTCTGCAACGTGACTAACTCCAAACCACTGCTTTCAAATCAGAAACTATACAGAAACTCGAACATTTGAAGTTGTTGACAACTCTCCTTATAGCGCAGATTTGGTACCCTCAGATTTTTGGTCGATTTCTACTCTCGAGATACATCACAAAGGAATTCATTTCAGCTGTGACGATGTTCAAGCCTCCTCGTGGAAATGGTTTTCAAGATTTCTGCAGACATGAGTTTGAAAATTGGTTAAATATTGACGTATCTTTATCGGACACGAAGGGGAATATTTAAAGAAATGAAGTGTCGAAGATTCTTTCATGAATAAAACTGTTATTCAATATTGTGACTAATCTATAGGCTCCTGGAATCGCTCTATGACATTTCTCTAGTTCGAAGGCGGCCCCTCAACACAAAAGAATTTACACAAGTCGCAAGTTATATGACTTGTATAAACAAAAAAATACGCGTCAAATGATCGGAATCAAAGTTTATGTTAATGAGAATCGTGAAATTGTATGAAAAATGGTCAAATTAGTCTTTTGTTTGTATTTGGAAATAAGACCTTTTGTGAGGATCCAAAAATGTCCCAGAACCACACTAAAATCTAAAAACCACTAAATTTGTTAATATTGTAAAATATAATTTTAATGTCCATAAAAAGAGATATTAATAATAATAGTCGAAAAAAACCTTTTCTCAGAAATTAGACAAAGGAAAACTAGAGAGTATAAAGTTCTAAGATCAACTATCTCCGGTTGGTATCGAATTATTAAATGTCAATTTTTACTCATCCCTCAAGCTGAATCCAGTTCTCGTTACACTTACTTGTTAGTAACGAGTGACGATCGACTAGAAAGTGGGGATGAGGAAAGATAACCAATCGAAGTGGTTGATCTGGAATTAAAGATGATAAAAACTCTGATATCAAGGACAAGGAGAACTTCTAGTATTCTGACAGTGCTTATACCTTACTTGGTTGCCTTTTCCACTTCACTGTCTAAATAAATCGGAATAATTTTCTTTGTAACTGTGGAATATATATAAGTCTGGTGAGAAAAGCTTCACCGGTTTTCAACATAGCGTATTAATTATGAATTTTTTAAATAATATGTGTATATGAAATGTGATCAATTATGATTAATTGTATTTATTATATAATTTGATTATGATCGATCCTGATCGATCATTATATATACATATATATATATTTGGCGTTATTGGCAATCCTAGGTACTAAACATCAATATCATAATATTGACTATATATATATATATATAAGTCGATCGATATAACTACGTATTATTATTATACAACACGATTACAATATGTCCTGATCGATCATTTGTATACACTCGGTATTTTTGACACTCGTGGACATATTCATACCATTATGTTGATAACAATACGTTTAAGAACGAAGTTACAGATATGAATATTTAGTTAAAAATATCGAGAAAAACTGTAACTGCATGTGTTGTCGAGTGTATAAGTTTTATACCATTATAAGTTGAATGCCGGCCATATTGAAAGCCGCCATATTTTTATATAAAAGCGTGTGTGCTCGATAGCAACGCAATTCACCAATACGCATTCACATAACATTAAAATTTATAAGGCGAAACGATAAAAACGAAAATGTTTTAACTTTAAAAAAAATAAAATACGTAAAAATCAAAAACGCTAGAAAAAAAATACACAATCCAGAAGGGGAAAAAAAGGAATTAAAAAAACAAAATAAATTTATCATTTACTTCGCAATATATTCATCGACTACGCTCCGACCATCGATGACGTATCAACAAAATCGACCAATAATATTCGAGCTCTTATTTGCGTATGTTCGGTTGGAGGTCGTGAACTCTAACCTTTAGCAGTTCAATTGGAAAGAATAAGGATTTAACTATTAAATTAAAGAATATTTTGTTATACAGGTAATAACATTTATAAATTATTATAATAATTAACATGTGATGCTTTTTAATTATATTTAAACGTGAATATAATTGGTAGTGGTCGAAGTTTACCAGGAAATGTTGCTTCATCCGATTAACTAATCTAATGTTTTATATTTAAGATTTTTATAAATTGTTGATTGAAATAATCGATAAAATCGAACATTATCGAAGTGATGAGAGGCAAATTTCATTAAATTACACACGGAATCGTGTTTATAATGGATGATGACGATGATGAGTATGAGTATAACCTCGAAGATTACCAATTTCTGTTTATATTATGATTCATACTTAAAATATGGTAATTTAATTATTTAAATTTTTCATAAAATCGTTTAAAAAATAATAATAAAAGTCCAACATAAAATTTATTTTTAAATAAATTACATATAAAAAAAAATGTTTACATTGATGATGATGATAATAATAATAATGGAGTTGATTGTAATTGATACAAAATTAAATTGTATAAAATAACAAAATTAATACATGTTTGTCTTCATAACTGTTATTAAGTTATATGCTGTTAATAAGCATATATTTTATATATTTGTGGTTTAATTAATTTTATAAATAGATTAAAATCCATAATAATTTTCCACAGTTATCATAATTCTCTTCAGTTTGTTAACATTGTTATATTGTAATAGCAAATGTATTAAGGACGATGCCGATGATAATCTGCGATAAATCGAAGCTTATAAAATTTAAAAAGTTTAGCTTGAAGACAAATATTAGTAGATATTTTATTATCGAGAATTGTAATGGCTTGAAAATTGATAACCAAAGTTATATGTTTTCGCGTCTTACAAGCTAGTTTCATCTACATTTTGTGCTATGGAGGAATCTTAGTAAAATGATGTAGAAGATATTGTATATAGCATGCAAAATTTTAGCATACATAATTTTAAATAATGAACTAAGTGAAGGATAAAAAGCATACACACTAGACACACTTTAGATCATTTACTTTGCTTAAATCCTGTTCTAATTGTGGAATTTTAGTTTTTAAAGTTATTATGGTCATGTCAACTGTAAAGAAGCAAGAATTATTTTTTTGACTAATGTTATTAAATACATTATTTAATGTTCTTGGTTTGTAAGAACAAACTGAAGACATCGAAGAACAAATATATAATTTTTTTTTTTATAAAATGAATTTTATTTTTTAAAAGTTGAATATTAGAATATGTATATATTTATTTAATTAAAGTACATAATGTTAATAAATTTAATCATTGTTAAGGTATAACGTATGCAGCTATTTCACATCATCTATAGCAGGGGTCGCCAAACTTTTTTGATTGTCAACCCCTACAACTTTTTGAAACCTCACATTGACACCCACCAAAAAGAGTGTTACAAGCAAAAAAACGCTCTTACTATTTTAATATATATCTTCTAATTTTACATATTTTACATTTATTGTACATATGTTAATAATAATTTTTGTAACTGACAATCAATGAGATGGATAAGCTTGATAATCCTTAGCAAGATTAACAATATTTGGTTTAAAATTTGTAAGATTTAGTCTTTTCATCGACCTCCCAATAATGTTATATCTTCGGCGACCCTTGATCTATAGTATATCAGATCATATATAGTATATAGTATAGTGTGTTATATTTCCATCTTTTCTGCTTTTTGTAAAAAAGATATAAACTTTTTAAAATTTGTTCTTATCACAAAATAAAAAATATTCACACTGTATATATGTATTGTGATATTATGGATTTAGTTATACCTAATATATGCTTATTCTAAAGTATTCATTGATAAAAGTTATATATCACTATTTAGATGCAAGTGTTTTTAGTGTCATTTCCAAAAAATAAAAATAAAGGTTCAGAAATATAGAAAAAATTTTATTTATATAGATTTTTAAATATTTGTTAGTGAATCTTCAGAGAATTTTCAGCATCAGCACACATAAGCATAATTTATACTGTAGATAATAAAAATAATACTCTTCTATTGTTTTGCCACATCTCCATTTGAAGCCATTTGCTAACAAATAGTCCTATCATTATATGGTATGATTCTCTTTGCTAGTAGAAGTATATCACATATATAGTGAATTGTTGGTATAGTGAATTCCAGTTTAACAAAATTTTTGGTATTATGAATATATCTTGAATCCCCCGCCAATTTCCTATTAAGCTCAATGCAACAGGTTTAAGTTTAACCAATATCGTTATAACAAAAATTTTAGTTTAATGTAATAAAAATTCTGTCCATTACAAAAGAATAGTTTCATTATAACAAAATCTATAAATGCATAAATCATTCATTATTAGTAAATAATGAATATTATGTCAAACAGTCTGGCAACATTAATTTTAATGTCTAGTTCAACTAGCAATGCTAATTTTAATAATTAGTTATGGTTTCATTTTGATACTATTACTCTACAGTTTATTTCTTTTTAAGTTTATGTGAAAAAATGGAGAAAAACAAAAACAATTTTCTTTGGAAGAGAATAATAAAAATATCAGATAATATACAAAAAGAAATTAAACAAAAAGATGTGCTTGATGGTCGACTGAAATGTGTCACAGTACTGGATTTTATTGAAAAAACTTTAATTAAAGAAACAACACACAAAAATTAGACTTATTTTAGCAGAAATAACAATTAAAGAGGCAGGATTCCAACTAATTGGTACTACTGTATTGCTATTTTAGTCATTTGCTTGTGATATCTTTTCATTATTTTTTATTATAGAATAAATTTTATTCTAATTTAATATAAATTACTTTCTGAAAATGTGAAATTTGGTTCCATATAAATACTAATAGATAAATTGCATTTTTAAAAACTTTGTTACTTCAAAATATAAGTGGATTTTTTATCATCAATAAATTTCTTTTATCCTTGTATTTTTGACAGTATTTCAGTATAACAAAAATATTTTGATGGTCCCTCAATTTCATTAGATCAACATTTTACGTATTGTTTTAAATAAATGTCCACACTTGGATGACAATATGATAGCTAAATGAGAATCTACAGCTATAACAAAATAAGATCAAATTAGTATATACTATAATATATTGAGAAGTTTTTTATAATTATTGTACATTATATTAATCTAGTTTTGTCATAGTCTAATCTAGTTTGCTATATTACATTCAATAACACTAACAATTGTAATTTGTATTGTTAAGTGGGTATACACTTGTTAAGAAAGTTTTTCAAACATAATTTCAATTCAAACCTTTTTTGAGCAAAAATTTCTTAGATAAATGTAAAAATAATTGGCAAATTAACAAAATTTATAATAGTAAATTTTTCACTTGTATATCAATAACTATTGGTCATTTAAGATAAATTAAGTCTAAGTTGAGTTATAAATAGAAATTTCACATAACATATTTTTTGATTTTATTCAAATTCTGGAAGAAACTCATGAAAAAACGTAATAAATTTACTCAAAAATGTTTTTATACAAATTTTAAAATTACACAATAAAAAATGTAGGCACTAATGCACCTGTATTTTATGTTTAAACTTTTAAACAACCATTAAAGATTAGAAAGTGTACCATAATGAAAAGTTTATTTATCACAAGAGACAAATAATAATAATAATTTTAAAAATGAATTTTATATATCTAAAGGTATTTTAAAATAAAATTATTTTATAAAAAATAACTTGACAATATAATATCACTAAATAGTTAAATATTAATCAAACAATTTAGCTGATTATTTTCATACTCATTTTTTTATGCTGTTTATTAAAATTATCTACAGAAAATTATTACACCATTCTGTTTATCTTTTAATCAATTTGTCTTTTGAAAGTTTTAGTCTTTTAAAAACTTAAATGTAGCAAACTTGCAAATTTTTGCATTCTTTTTAGAGCTCAAAAACAATACTGCTAGAATGAAACTTAAAATACAGTAGTGTCTGTTTATTGTAATTGTGGATATCAATTTGTAAATGTTATTGAAATCAGCAGATTCCAAAACATACAAATTAAAATACATTATGATAATGATTCTAAACTGTGAGATGAGAGACCATTTGTAGAGGCATGAAGAAATTATCACTATTATTGTTTGTTTTCACATATAACTCTTACATACTGCACTAGTTTTAATACAATATAGTATTAAAAACATTTTCAACTATAGATTTATTACATTAAAATTATAACATTGTAAGATATCATTGTTATTATGATTGCAACAATAATCATTACATCATCAAAATGTGGTTTCATTTTGTAATTTTTTTGTACTCTTTTTTTATATTATATTTTATATTATTTCTATTTTACTTTTGTTTTAGATATAATTGTGTATTATAAAAAAATTGTAAGGGAACCTTTGTTTTATTAGAATAAAATGCATTCAAAGAAATTTATAGGTCACTATGTTTTTATTAAAAGTATCAGCATAAAGTTTTTTTTATTAAAAGGGAGACATCTTTTTAAAAGTTTGAGAATCATTAAATTACACTTATAATTCCAGCAAACTATTTTAATTTGCAAATGTTTTTGACCTTTTTTTTAAAAGTCATCTTCAAGCAAGAAACAAGAAAGATTTGAAACATTTAATGTCTATTGAATATGAATCTCATCATTTACAATATTCTAAGTTTAGAACAGTTTACAATTTTACACTTTGAAATTCAAACTTTTAGCATTCTTAAAAGCCAAAAATATAATAAAAGTATGTAAATAATATATATAACAAAGAATGTAGATAACTTCTTAATAGTCTTTTGGCTAAAAGCCTTCTGTATCTGTTTTCGTATTAAATCTAGTCTGCACATTCAGAAATTTTATCCTCTACTTATTGAGAGTTATCAAATTTTAATATGATACCTTCCAAGAGTTTGATAGTTTCTGTTTCTTTAAAGTTTATGTATGTTTACTTTCTGAGGATAAGTATATCTTAAGTTGCTCATGTTATTGAGTAATTTGAGTTGAACAGATAATGAGACTAGTATTCAATAGATAAATGT